GTAGCCTGTTAAAGAAAAAAAAAATTGTTGGGAAAGGAAAAAATCCTCAGAAATCGAAAAACTTTCTACACTATTGTCCCTCCCTCGACGAAGCTTAACTTCTGCGAATAATATTTCATTATGCATTGTATATTTAATTCTCCTAATAAACAGTAAAAATTTGAAGGAAAAGCGGAATTTTCATGGCAATGCACTGGGCGTTTTTGCACTTGCATTATTGGCAAACCGTAATCAACGAAAGCTCGCTATTAATTGCGGAATTGACTCAGCCGGGAAAGGCATAGAGAAGCCGAAGTTGTGTTTGAATAAAGTCATAATTCGGGCTTGATTGGCGACCGATGACCCTTGTACCACGTTGCCAGAATCTCCCCAGAAATGGATTAAATTTACTGTAAATTCTGGTCCAATTCTCGCAAATTTCAACAAGGGCATGTCCTGTGAGGTCAGGAAAAAATCGACAAGGGGCCCGGGGAATTCGCGGATGCCAGGGGTGGTTCAGAGCCCCGTGAAATATAAGTCTGTTGTTGAGGGCGCGGGGTGGGCGGCAACGGCGCGGTGGAAATCAAACAGGACACAATGACTCGGTAATAAACAATATTCCGTCGGCGCAGTGTTTGCTCGTCGGTGTAGCGAGTAATTGGAACTGAACACACATGGAAATGCATAAATGATCCGCGAATAACCGCGTCGTGTCGAGGGTGCAAGTTGCCACACTGCACAGGGAACTGCAAAAACACGGTTCTCGATTTCAACATTTCCGCGCTTAATTTATTTTTTAGGAGAGGGTTGAATTAATAACATAGCTTTAAAAGGTCCGTCCATTAAGGACGTCACCCATTTTTCCCCCAATTTTTTGGTCTCATTCTTCTTCAACGTATTCAACCGTCATCCACTGCTAGATCCCCCTAAAAATTACGCCATCCTTAGCAACCCCCTCCCCCCTTTTTGGGGGGAAACGCTGTAGGGAACAGATAAAATGAGTGCATATCCCGCTGCCCTGAGAGAGTCACGTATTTTATGAACGACCCCATACTCTATTCTGCCGTGCTAAGGAAAAACGCCTTACGAGCATTCGAGAGTTGCCAAATTTCCTCTCAGAAAATAGTTATTTTTGAAGAAAGCTGTGAATATTTTTCCTTGAAATTTTCAGGAAGTTTAGGTGAAATTGCGAGCAAAACTATCTAAAAAATTGGAAAGAAAATGTTCACGTGTTTACCAGGAATTTCGTGTTATATCAAAGGAAATTTGGCAACGCCTGAAGGTTCATACGGCGTTTTTCCTTAGCACGGCAGTATTGAAGTACTCTCTCTACCCTCCGTATTTTTTACACTTATCCAGCATTCCACCCTCTTGTTACGAGACAGTTACTCAGTGGCGAGGCGTGAATGATCGATTTTCCATGTATCCTCATGCCATTTGAAGCTATGGTAAAGGATCGATTATTAAGGTGTTCGTTGCAAACACCCTCTTTATCGATCCTTTTCTGTAGGTTCAAATGGCAGATCAACCGATTCATCGCAAATCACGCCACGCCACTGTTTAGTAGAATTTACTCAGGGTGTCTAGCATCAGGATTTCCCCCTTTTCCCTGATTTCATCAGGATTTGAGGAAAAATCGGCCGTAAAATCAGGATTTGAGAAAAGTCGGACGTCCGATCGGTTCGATCTGGTTCATTAGCGTGTATTTACATTTTCAGCGTTTCACACTTGTTTTTAATCTTTAGAACTGAGTTTTGAGTCCTGCTTATGAATACGCTTATGCAGAAAATTTAATTTTTCTTCGCAAAAAATCAGGATTTGATCAGGATTTGGAAACATTATAAAATCAGGATTTAGCAATCAAAAATCAGGAGAAATCAGGATTTCTTCAGGATTCCTCAAAATGGAAAACAACCAGACACCCTGTACTGAAAGAAAACTTGACGCAATGCACCACCGCATCGAACCCTTAACGTCGATATTAACCGGGGCAGTAAATCCCTCACAAGGAAATATTAGTCGGTGGATACGGTCCTCTGAGCGTTGGCTTTCAGTCGGGCGAAGTTAGATTAAATGTCTATCACGGCTGAAATCGAGCCGTTTGATAGCTGATACGGTTAAGAACAAAGGGAAGGAGCGAATGTTTTCAGCGCGGTTAACAATAATCAACTTTCAAAGAGTCCGAACAAGGCGAAATCTCCGTTGGCAACTTATTCGCTCCGTGCAAAGTTCACGCTGCGAAAGAGTTTCCCGCTAAATAAAGATCTTTAGATGATTAACTCCAGTCAGCGAGTAGGAATAACTCGCGAGGCCGGGGCAATCTTAATTAAAAAATCTCACTCTTATCTGTGTTTATTCAAGTTTTTCTCGTTTCCGTTCCGTTCATGAGTCTCGAGATTTTTTTATTACGGAGGAATGGTCGAGTACAATCACGTTAACAGGATTGAAGAGACGGTTGGAATCTACGAGTGGCTGAGCCTTTATTCCGTTTCACTGAAACTGTCATGTTACTGGGGTTGGAAAGCTGTTGGCTGCTTTTTTCCCCACCGTTACTTGCCACGCTCTGGCTGAACTTTTCATGGTTAATGTGTGACTACCGTTTCGATGTCTTCATGTTGATGCACAGCTGAAATCGAGAAAACTTCAAGACGTGTTTTCACTATCAAAAGAAGCCGATCGAAATAGAACAGTGGAAAAAACAAGGAGGAAAAACGGGAAACAATGCTAAAAATACATAATTAATGAAACTTGAGACGTTTCGACTCAAAACTGAGTCATTTTAAGTCGGAAACAATAAAAATTTAAAAAAAAACGATAAAAAACCTGAGCCTTACATGGTGGTGGTCGGGATCTAAGAAAAAGAGAAAATTGGTAACATTTTTTAAAATTGTTATTATTTCCGACTGAAAATAACTCAGTTTTGAATCGAAACGTCTAGGGTTTTATTAATTGTGTATTTTTAGCCTTGTTTCCCGTTTTTCCTCCTTGTTTTTTCCACTGTTATCATTGCCTCGGGCTGCTCTTAAAAATTTGTATTGAAATAGAACATCGATGTGATAACCAACATTTTCAATTTTTTTCCAGCTATCGCAAAGTTTTTGATAAAGCTCTGCTTTAGTTACGAGTGTCTCAGCTGAGGAGAGTTCAGTGAGGGCAAAGGAAAGTAGAGCTTTACCAAAAGCTTTGTGACAGCCGAAAAAAATTAACATTTTCGGTACAATGATGTACAGCTTTAAAATAATTTATTCTCTGCTTGCTTATCGATACGATTGTTGAGCATTGCTCTTCCAAATTGAAGATCTTGATCCGGTGTCTTCAGGTGTCGATCAATTGTCAAATCATCTTGATCAACAAATATCATATAACGAGTAGGTTTTGTCGATCAATATTACTTAACAAATAACGCCCGAAGTTTTGAACATTAGGATATCGTTGCATTTTTTTTTTTTTTTTTTTTTTTTTTTTTTATGTTCAGTGCTCATCTAACACGCACAGCGCGGGCTGATTTACTCGTTCGAGTGTACTCAAGAATTTTCATTTCGTCTTCAATTGAAGAGGATACTTACTTCCCACCGCAGAGTGCGAATAGTGGTATCATCGGCTTGCATGCTATTTGGACGTATTTCTGCCAATCTGAACTATGTGCATTATGACTTGAGCCCTGTTATGCATGTATTCTTATGGGTCTCAGGGCTCATGTCTTAATGCACATAGTTCCATTTGGTAGAAATACGTCCATTTCAACGTGAACAAGTCCATTTTCAAGGAAAAAGCCATCGGCATCATTCATCTTTTACCCATTAAAGAGACCGCATAGTTATCATATGGTCGTAAGAATCAATTCCCCTTGCGTTAAGTCGTCGTTCCCTTGTCAAACTGGCGTAACTATATTTTTTATTGAGCCCTATGATCCATATAACCACACGCTTTTCATGGCTCAAGTGAGAATACGGATGCGCTCTTATGTGTAAGGGACGAAGACGTGTCCCTTACTCCCGGCTGTCGAGGGTCCTCCGGGGTGGGCTTAAGAGGACTTAGTATTAAGTAGGCGGAGGGTGGCCGACAGATACGTAACTGATTACGGATCGAGGGAGGAGTGTATTAGGGGCCATTGATCATAACGGAAAGTTAAGAATGTCGAATAAATATTAGCGGAACAAACATTCGCTAATACCGGGCGTCTCTGTCCCCAAGTCGGAGCGGACCAGCCTCACCCCCCCCCTACCCCCGGGTCATAACCCTCGCTCACCGCAGTCAACCGCGATGCCATTTTGCATCCGAATTGTGAATTCGTGCCTGTTTCACACGAGGAAGGCTGCCGGAACCACTTTATCTATCCCTGAATGTGGTGCGTGAATCTATGCTGGTGCAACTTACTGAGCTGAACGAAAAAATGAAAAGAAAATATTTAAAGCAAAACTTCACTTAAGATATTTTAGTCATGTTGGTTTTAAAAACTGGCATCGAGTTTTTGACTGAAATCGCATTTTAGAGTGTTCGGTCTGCACTTGCAGTTGCGACTGCGAGCAGCTTAGTCAGTCACACTATTAATTATTTTGCATTTGGTGGATTCAGGAGAGTCGTAACCATGGTAACCGCATGATCCTGCGCTAGTCCGTGGCAAAAAAGAGGGAAAAAAAATCGGATGGACCGATAGTTTTTCTCTCACCACTCACCTAATTTGTTACCATGATTTTTCATCTATTACCTATCCACGCAGAGGAACGAGAGGAATATTTAGAATCCCCCACTCGTGGGATCGAACAGTCCCCTCTTTTCTTCGCAACTTTAACGTTTTGGCATATCTGTCTGGTATGCTGGGGGTTATTCTTCCTGTACAAAATTATGAAACCGAGGAAGAAAGTGTGTATATTTTTCTAACCTAGAATAAGTGCCGATTGGGTGGATAGTATTCAAACAGCTGTGAAACGAGCGGTGATCCCAGATGTTGCCAAAATCTCGAGGACGCGAACTCGCCTCGTGACCCACCGTCATGGTGACGTCACTGCTATGTTGTGAGTAATTTTTCTGTTATTTCTCGCGGAACAGCTTACAGTATAAATTGTGGCCTCCTTTCCTCCGGAAAAAGAATCACTCAAAAAGTAACGAATCCTCCCCCTGGATAGCCTGTAAAAGTAGCATGCCGGTTAAAATATTTTTAGTTTGTTGCTCGAAGAATTGTGTTCGTTTTCTTATCGAGTTTTATTTATTTTTAGTCACGAGAAGCTTAGAGTGATAACTGCAGCTAGAAATGTACCAACCAGTGTGATGGAAGTCGAGGAATTTTCAAAAGAAATCTACATTCGGGATATTCCATTTTTCCGTCCCGTTTCTCTTGATCAATGTGCTTTCGCCCCTTTTTCCAATCGAAAAATCAACATGTAGATAAGCGCTGTAAAAAGTAAACATTTCCTCACCGAAATCACCTGTTGAAACAAAATGGCCGTCAATACATTTTTGGTTTGTTTCTTCAAGTTGCTGTCTTACAGAGTTGCGTCACTTTTCAACCCCGATGACCTAGTCTTGAGCTGTAGCTTTTCCCCTGACCCCCCAAAACATGGTCAATTACATACGACGGTCTCCTTCATCATGTCTTTCAAAGGCTCAGAGAAGGAAGTACCAACGATGTTCTTATCGCCCTATATAAATGCCGACGAATACTTTTAAATTACGTGTATGCCCGATGGAATCCTGTGAGGCGGAAAGTGATGTCATATTCCTTTAATCAAGTGACCTCTTCTGTGGGTATGTAACAGTGATAAATTATAATGTCAGTCTCCTACACTGATAAAAAAAAAGAATCTTAAATTTTCCGCCGAGAAGTATTTCTTCTTAAATCAAGAATTTTTCTGGTTAATAAAAGTTATTTTTTTCTTAACCCGAACATTATTTTTCTTGTATCAAGAAAAAGTCAGCTTACAGCAAGATAAAAAAAATTCTTGGCGGCAAATTCAAGAATCATTATGCTTGATCCAAGCTACTTTTTTTTCAGTGTATGATTCCTTTTTCCAATTTAATTGGACAAGGGTCAACAGGAATCGTCGCTTTCCCTCACGAAAGCACGTAACTTCATTTCAATGTTGCCAAATTTTCCTCGCAAATGCAAATGAACCAGGAGAATTTTGAGCATTCCGAACCGAAAATTTCACAGATTTTCCCTCAGATTTCATGCAAAAAGCAGGAAAATGTTCAACGAAAATTTCACAGATACAACTTTTTAAAATAAACCAATCGTTTAAGTCAATTTGGCAACCTTGAAATGAAGCTACGTTCACGAGAAAACCAACTGATATGTGGCCGGATTCACCCGAAATCAACCCATCTAACATCTAATCGATATAATGCGCTGCAAATATGGGGCTGCATCGATTTAATTCATTCGATTAATCGATTCGAATATCGATTCAACTATCGACGGGACCCGCTCGCGAAGGCCGGTTAATCCGCGGTGCATTAAAAATACACACACGCCATTTCCCTCACGAAAGAACGTAACTCCATTTCAATGTTGCCAAATTCCTCCTCGCAAATTGCAAGTTAATCACGAGAATATTCGGCATTTCTAACTGAGAATTTCATCGATTGTTCCTTAGATTCAATTTAAAAATCAGAATAATTTTGGATTAAAATTGCACTGGTACATTTTTGTAAAATGAGATAATTGTTTTAGTCAATTTGGCAACCCTGCAATGGACTTACGTTCCTTCCTCCAAGAGACGACGGTATGTCTCTCTCCTGTCTCCGGTCACAAACTCACGACTCCACCCGTTAGTTACACCCTGGATTTCGCATTATTTGTTTGTTCCCCCTCCCCCCGCACTGCCTCCCTTTCAGTCTCTCCGCCCGCTATGTAAACACGCTTTTGACGTATTACATCTTCACCCCCACTCTCGCCCTTCCCCCTTCCCCCGCGGTCGTCTAATTAAAACGACCTCATTAAGCGGTGCAGCTGTGAAAATATTTACGCGGAAATTGAACGTATCCTCGCGGAAATTTTTGTCCGTCTCGGACTGAGCCCTTTCTCTCTTTTTGTGGGAATGCACTCATTGTATATATGTATCGCATTCAACGCGCCTTCAGTTTAGCGAGATACTTCACACGTTACCTGGAAGTTAGTTTAGTTGCGTTGACCGAGTGGAGGGACTGACTAGAGTCATTGAGTGCACTGCATGGAGTGCGCCTTCATTTTCGAGACAAATTTTACGCCCTTCCTTGGAGCTCGTATAGTTGCGTCGACTTTTTGATTGAATAGACTGATGTCGTGGCTGTTTCATTCCTGCGGTATTCGTTTTATCTATGCTCGATGGAGTCAACGTTATCAAAAAAATAATAAGTAGTAAAATTAAGTATTCATGGTGACGAGAAAAATACTAAAAAAAATGGCCCGTAACTGTGCGTTACCGTATTCATGGTGTTAGTATCTTATGAATTCGTTTTTAACATTAATCTTAAATAAATAAATGACTTCTCAGACATGCCAAAGATTTCAATCCAAAAAATTCTCACGAACTTCATCTAGATCGATTCAGTACGTTGAGAGTTGTTCCAAGTACTCTAAATTTCCATTTCTCCTGCCATCATTTTAAACATTTTTAATGACAATTTAGTGAAATATCATCAATTCCGACGATTTTTTTCGTAGGTTTCCGCGCATTTTCAACTCAACATTTGAGTATCATAAGAAACGCGAAAAATTTGATAAATTACGAGATGAATTTCATATCATATCATTTAAGAACACAATCATAATTTATCAGATTTTCACAAGATAAAAACTCATTTCGAATTGATTGGCATTTAAAACACCCACAAAAATTTCATCAAGGAATTGAAAATTATCAGAATCTGTTTTCGCGAACCTACGATATTTTGTTGCCTGTATCTTACGGTTTCAGAGTAAGTTTTATCGTCGTCTATGTTGACTTCCTTCTTTATTTAATTATTTTGAGTACAGTCCAAAATTATCATAATTGATTTCAAACATTACTCGTAAAGAATCAATTATTTCTGTTTTTTCATTATTACTCTTGCTTTGAATAAACTCGCAATATAATGGAAATCGCAAGCGCAACGCGTTTATTCAATCTACATATATTTCAGACCACCTCACCCTGACCGGGGGTGGTCAGGTCCATTTCGCGGTCCGGGGGTTGAAACCAGTGGCGAAAACCTATCGATGTTTCCTCCATTTGAAGGCATGGTAAAGAATCGATTGTTAAGGTGTTTGTTGCGAACACCTATTTATCGATCCTTTTCCATAGTTTTACATGGCAGATCAATCGATATATCGCAAAGCACGCCACGCCACCGGTTGAAACCCCAGCGAGGGGTGTTTTCGGGGGCCAAACGGCCGAACGAAGAGGGGCCCGCAGCGAACCTGTCGCGTTTAATGATGCTTCGCGGTATCTCAAAGCCGCCGTCATTATCACGGCTCTGCTTTCTGGTCAAAAACGACGCAACTGCGATATTGGAACCCCGTGGGGATATGAGGTTTCGGCTGTGGGAGGGGCGATTTTTACGCGGGGGATTCGCCCCTCGGATTTCGTTTATCAACTCGCCGCCACTTATCGTGGAGGTGGCTCCGCGCGGGGTGTGACCGGAATATCAATTCTTATCAAAGCCGAGAGGGTCCGCAAATTCGGGGAGGGAGACCCTTTTTGCTCCGTCCCATCGCCCGTTCTGTCGTTTTAAGGAAAAACAACGTATGAGCGTTCGAATGTTGCCGAATTTATACCGATAAAAGAAGGGTTTCATCAGGAAAGTCATGAATATTTTGCTTTAAATCTGTTTAATCTAAATGATTTACCAGATAAAAACACTGAGAAACGTGGCTTGAACTGTATGTATCAAGGTGGTTAACTTGTGCTGGGTCCTTACTATTTTGAGGGTAATATGAGGCCAAAAAGTTCAATAAGAGGCAAAAATCTCGAGCTCTAAGTCAGCTAATAATGGAAATTGTTGAACTGTTGGCCTTGTTTTCCCCACAAAATAGTGTGAACCGAGTACTATTTTACCACCTCCTCTAGAAAATTAACTAAACTGGCAAAATTCTCTAAAATTGGAAGGAAAAATGTTCAAGAAAATCCGTAAATTTGTGAGAAACTTGGCAACGTCCGGTCGTTTTTATCAATTCCAGTGGGGAGACCCTTTTTGCTCGTTTATAGCTACTCCTTTTTACGGGCTGAGTAGGAATACCGTATGAACCCACGCCAATCGCTAAATTTCCTCTTCTAAAACTTGATTTTCTGGTGAGAAATATGAATATTTTCCCCTGCAATTTTTAAATAAACCAGACGCAACTGAAACCAATATCATCTAAAAATTTCAATGAAAAATACTTTGAATCTTATTGACAAATTCCTCATTTTTCAGAAGGGATTTGGCAACGTCCGATTGTCCCTTACGACGTTCCTCTACATTATTACGGGCTCATTTCGAGTGTCCGGCCCAAAAGTGACCGTTCGACCCTCACGTTTATGCATAAACCATCTCATAACCTCAATTTTCCTCACGCGCCCTTGCGTCCCTTTCTAATAGCCTCGTCGCCCACCTTTTTGGCGTAATGTTCAACTGCTTTCACTTTCTAAATAGTAGCAATTTTAAACCGGAATGACAGTGAAATATTTCAAGTTTGTGAGGGAGAATCCATTTTCTCACTTTGAAGTGGTTCTCTCCATCCGCGCGAGTAGTAACTTTTTGTTTTGTTGTGGTCATTATGGGGTCATCCATAAATTACGTAACGCACTTTTTCAAAATTGTTGACTTTGTAACGCTTTTCTAACGTAGGTTCCTATCCTTTAACTTGTAAAAACAAAATGGCGTACCAGTCTCCTCGACCCCTCCTCCCGCTACAGCGTTACGTAATTTATGGACGGCCCCTTTATCATCATTTACCGACATTTTGTTTCCGAGTTTTTTTTAATTTGATGTTTTTGTGTTTCAGGTTTGTAAATTTTCATTTTCAAAAACACAGATGATCAAGTATGATGTCACTCGGACGTGGTGACTTCTTTTAACAAGTAAGCACACGTAAATTCTCAATTTGTTCGTTGATTCGAGCATATTCACTCAGCGGAGGGTTTTGAATATTAAGTATGAGCAACGAGAAATATCAATCCTGTTAGCCCTCCCGCTTCCAAAAAACGAAAAGAAAACATAATCCGCAAAAATTAATGACATGTATTTTATCGATATGAATTAAAGTTTATTTTTTCATGGACGGCCACAATCTGTCGCTCCTCAGACGGAATAATTCAAATTCAACGTTGCAAATTTCTCTCTCGCTGATTGTACTTTTAAGAGGAGACTAAACAGTATTTACAACTGAAAAAGCAGTGATTTTTCCTCTGGCTCAATGGAGTAAGTGACCAAATTTTGGACAAAACTTTGACTTACACACTGTAAAAAAAACACATTGGATCTTGAGTCCAGACTCTTGAAAACATTGACAAGAAAAAATACTCTTGATTCAATTAGATTTAAGCTTAAATCAAGAACCAAGCCTCTTAATTTGAGCGGATTTCCTTTTGATTTAAGCTTAAATCTGATTGAATCAAGAGTCCTTTTTCTTGTCAATGTTTTCAAGGGTCTGGACTCTAGATCCAATGTGTTTTTTTTTCCAGTGCATATTCCGGAAGATAACTGCGCTGTTAGAGTCAATTTTAAAATCTTAGAATGAAACTCCTTCATCTCGAAAATGACAAATTCCTTGTCCGGAGATCCCTTTCCATCATTGAATTAAAAAACCGTGTAGAAAGGGGGGAAGTCCTCTACAAATCCCGGCAACTTCGATTCGCAACGTCAAAAAACTGAGTTGCAAGAGTCAATTTTGAAATCTTAGAACTGAGTCCCGCCCTTTCATCTTGGAAACTACGAATCCTCGTCCGGAAAACCCTTTCCATCACTCAATTAAAAAACCGCGTAGAACGGGAGAAATTTCTCTACAAACCCCGGCAGCGCGGATTCGCAACATCGAAAAGCATTTTTCAATCGCTTTGTTCCCGTCTCGCAAAACCCTCGGCGGACCCCGCGTAAATCAAACGACTTTCCGTTCGGCGTCCGCCTTTCACCGCCAAACATAAATTCTACAAATGATCGAGTAAAACCGCGCGCCGCGTCCTTTGAGAAATTTTTCCCCGGAGAAAACACGGGATGACCGTAATGCGGCTTACCCCGTCGCCGAACGGCTTCGAGAGGGAAATGAGCGAAACAGCCCCACGTCGCACAATGGATCGAGTCTATAGGCGAGGTCGGACAAAATTCGGAAACTTTAAACGCCTGTAACTCCATTTTTACGAAACTTTGAGGTTCAAAAAAGAGGGTTTCATTGGCTTTCTCGTGAAATTTTCTTCAAGATGCACCCCTTATAATTTAAAATATGACGCAATAAACACCAAAATTGTCAATTTTAGTCAAAATTTTAATGTCCAACCTCTCTAATTGACTGGATCCACTGTGCGCCGCGCTGCTGAAATTTTCTTCCATAAATACCCCTCAAAATTTAAAATGTGACGAAATAAACATCAAAATTAGCAGTTTTAGTAAACAATGTTATGTCCGACCTCTTTGCACCCCCTGATTGACTCGACCCAGGGTGGCATGAAACGTAAAAAAGAACTGAAATAATGGATTCAGTGAAATACTTCATGATTTTTCACGAGGCTGTGAAATATTTCATATTATTCTCAAGGCTGTGAAATATTCATATTATTCAGGGGCTTGGGCATGCAACCCGCACTCAAACACACAAAAGTAGAAGAAAGTCACAATTTTTTAATTCTGCGAAACGTGAAAAAGCACCAGTATTTTTCAATATCTTTCATAAATTTCTAGAACTTCACGAAATATTTCACGTGAAATTTCAATACTTTAATTTTCATGAAATTTTGCCACCCTGACTCGACCCACTGTGCGTCGGAGGGGGTGGGAGGAAGAAGCCCCGCATTTAATATTCACGATCCGTCCCCCGGTTTTCCACAGCCTACAACTCGTTGCTTTATATTTGCATAATGGGCTGTGCAGTTCGGGGAGGGGGTGGTTCGAAGGTCTAGGGCACCGTAAACCGGTGAGCAGTCAACGGTGGAGCCCCCCCCCCCCCCCCCCCNCGGAATAGGCCGCCGCCGAGACGTGTCTATTTTTTACTCAGACTATGAGACGATTCAGGATACGACTCATTAACTCTTTATTGAAGTTCTGGCGCTTCTGACTCTGGCGTCTGCGAGGAGCCAAATTAGTTTCTCATCCCTCGCGAGGGAATGCGCGATGGCTTCCGTATGCAAAACTGATCTCCTGGATTCGTTTCTGTGACGCTTGTAGCATCCTCGCCCTTCGTCAACTTTTACATAAAGAATCAATAGTCAAATCGCAAATTCCTCACACATGCAACATCTCCATTCTCTGTCCTATCCCTGCCAATGTCTGAAAAAGAACCTGTGAATTTTCAGAAAAGCTTTGGATCACACGATAGCACGAGTGTCTTGGGGGCTCATCCAAAACAGGACTTGCATCCTTTTAAAAAGAACTAGAGTGCTATCATTCTCACCCTGACTATTGGTCATCCTCGTTTCGAAATCTGCTGCTAACCCGCTGAAGTTAAAATCCAGCAAACGCAAAACTCCTCGCCGAAGAAATCATTCCGAAACACTACCCTAAGTTCGTGTCGTGGGTGTCGCCCCACCAAAACCCTTCGCTCCTCTCGCGTAAGGTCCTCAATGTCCTCGTGAGCCCTATTCTCCATATAACTTCACGCTTCTCAGGGCTCACTCAGAGACGGAGATACGCCCTTACGTCAGAGGAGCGACGAACCATCCAATCCCGACTGCGACCATTTCGCGGAGCGAGAATATAAAGCAAGTGAATTGATTCCGATTTCAGGACGATATTGCGGCCCGCCGCACGGTGGAACGAGTCAATCGGAAAGGTTGGACGAATATTTTTCGATTAAAACTGCACATTTTGATGTTCATTTCATCAAATTTTAAATTTTAAGGGGTGCTTCCGAAAGAAATTTTCACTAAAAAACCAATGTAGCCACTTTCAAAACCTTAAAGTATCGTATAAACGGAGTTATGAGCGTTTAAAGTTTCCAAATTTTGTTCTACGTCTCCTGTTGACTCGATTCACTGTGCGACGGTTGTTTTGCATGCGCTGCAAGGTGATGAAGATGTCGAGTCCCTCGCCCCTTCTTCACCCCCGCCCTCCGAGGGGGGGGGGGGGNTTGAAGTTCTGGCGCTTCTGACTCTGGCGTCTGCGAGGAGCCAAATTAGTTTCTCATCCCTCGCGAGGGAATGCGCGATGGCTTCCGTATGCAAAACTGATCTCCTGGATTCGTTCCTGTGACGCTCGTAGCATCCTCGCCCCTCGTCAACTTTTACATAAAGAATCAATAGTCAAATCGCAAATTCCTCACACATGCAACATCTCCATTCTCTGTCCTATCCCTGCCAATGTCTGAAAGAGAGCCTGTGAATTTTCAGAAAAGCTTTGGATCACACGATAGCACGAGTGTCTTGGGGGCTCATCCAAAACAGGACTTGCGTCCTTTAAAAAAGAACTCGAGTACTATCATCCTCACCCTGATTATGGGTCATCCTCGTTTCGAAATCTGCTGCTAACCCGCTGAAGTTAAAATCCAGCAAACGCAAAACTCCTCGCCGAAGAAATCACTCCGAAACTCTACTATAAGTTCGTGTCGTGGATGTCGCCCCACCAAATCCCGTCGTCCCTCTCACGTAAGGTCGTATCTCAGTTTCCTTGTGAGCCCTAATCTCCATATAACTCCACGCTTTTTAGGGCTCACTGAGAGACGGAGGTACGCCCTTACGTCAGGGGAGCGACGAACCATCCAATCCCGACTGCGACCATTTCGCGGAGCGAGAATATAAAGCAAGTGAATTGATTCCGATTCAGGACGATATTGCGGCCCGCCGCACGGTGGAACGAGTCAATCGGAGAGGTCGGACAAATATTTTTCGATTAAAACTGCACATTTTCATGTTTATTTCATCACATTTTAAATGTTGAGGGGTGGTTCTGGAAGACAATTTCACGAGAAAACCAATGCAACCACTTTTAAAACCTTAAAGTATCGTATAAACGGAGTCGTGAGCGTTTAAAGTTTCCAAATTTTGTTCGACGTCTCCTGTTGACTCGATTCACTGTGCGACGGTTGTTTTGCATGCGCTGCAAGGTGATGAAGATGTCGAGTCCCTCGCCCCTTCCTCACCCCCGTCCTCCAAGGGGGGGTGGCCAGCACTCACGGAGCACTCGATGCATAGCGCTTTCGGAATCGGACCCGTTGCTCCGTTTTGGCGGCGGTTCAAGAGCGGGACGCGGCTTAAGATTCATGCCACTGTTGTCGGCAATCGATAAGGGCACCTCCAGGGCTCCCGCGTCCTCCGGAGGAACGTCCTATCGACGTCCGCACGTTGTCGGATTACGCTCGATAAAATATTTAAAAACTTTGCGTCGAACGACGCCATTATATAATTTTTGAAAACGAATCGAACCAAGACGTAGGAGGGGAGGCCAGGGTGTCTGCAGGTCCGGAATGTCCGGAAATAGTACTGATCTTTTAAAGGCGGTCCGGAAGTACTGAAAAGTGCGGAATTCCGTAAGAAGGTCCGGAATTTTTTTCAGTTTTTGTCACCTTTGTCCCAATGTGAGCGAGAAATTCAAATTTTTGAAATTTTTCGAATTTTGTAATGTGGAGGTTTTGAAAAAGTACTGTATTTTTATGTGGAGGAGGTACTGAATTACTTGGAAATGTACGGAAAAAGCACTGGAAAAGTACTGATTTTTGGCCAGCCTGTTAGACACCCTGGAGTCATCCAGAAAGTAAGTTTATCTATTAAATATCTCCTAAATTAAATTAGATAGAGAAAATATGTAAAATGCGTTGAAAAGTCACTACTGTGAGGTCTTTAACGCGCTATAGATTTTTAAATTTGGTGCAGTAGAATTTGAGGGAAGTGGGATTTTCTAAACCCAAAGATTTGATGATTGATGCCGGCGCAGAGATACGACTATTCGTGCTTGATGGATGTCCGTGTTGTATCTACAAAATTGAAGGCGCGATAGCGCGAGGCGTGAACTCGCAATGCTCCGCTTTGTGCTGCCAATGAGACGTTGCTTAGATTCGGGGGAGGTTTGAAAAACAAGGTCCGATTGCTTGTCTCTCATCCTCGACTGTGTTGCTCATGCAGCCCTTGAAGCATCACCACGAATTAGACAAACGGAAACAAGCACAAGTTGGAAATATAGCG